GGTTTTCATACCCTCATGCCAGGTTTGACCACCCTTGGCCTTTTTCCAACCGCTACTTGCCTCGGCAAACATCGCTCGCCGTGGCAACCTATTTCGTGACATGCGTAACACCAGCGTAATCTATGGAGGTCGGTCATTTTCTCCAGTGGACGACCGCGAAAGATAGTCTCAAAAAGCGCGTAAACACATCCGTGGAGAAGAAATAAGAGCTTAACGGCAATCGCACGAAGGAGTTCACATCTACTCATGGTTATTACCTTCAGATGTAAGGTTGTTTTCTTCAATACACATTACTGAACTCGAAAACGAGAGACAATCTCAATTTTTGTGTGCAGTAGACAAACAAAACAATTTTCATCCCCCACCCGGAATTGATTGATTGAGTTTGCTCCCCTGTTGTGTCATCCTATTTTCCTTTTAATTAATGCTTGCTCTGCCTCCCCTTACTATAAAGATTGGTATATATATATATATACCACATTTTCCCCGAAAATATGAGGCTAGTATTCAAGCTAGAAGTAGTTTCTGGATTCCTTCTTTGATTCAAGAGCTCTGTGAAGTATTCATCTCACGTAAATGATTATACTAAGCCTTTTGTTTCACTGCTCGTATCAGTCACCTTTGTGGCTATACTCATCGCACGAAGAGATTAACAAATGCTTGATTCTTAGAGGGCGATCAAAATGAAAATAAACATTTTTAACACACATTGGGAAAATGTTGCCCCAATGAAGCACAGACCTGAATTACTTGAAGAGCGGGGTTCAGAACTTTATTTCACTTATGTGTACGTGCAATGCAGTCTGCCCGCAATGTCTTAGGTGTCGCTCGACAATTTGTTTCATTGAGATCCTAATGATGAATTGGTGTATTGATTGTAGTAGTAGTGATAGTAGTACGAACTGAAATCGGAATGCGCACCATGCAGTATGGAACACGAAATACAAATCAAGGATTGCCAATCACGGACTGGATCACGTAAGCTCTTGACCGCACTGGCACTAGAACGCAATATCCCACGTAACGGATACGCAAGGAAAAGGCCTCAGCAGTAGTAGCTTGTTTATTGGGAGAAATAATGGGGTTTGAATACGTACAAAGTAAGTTCATTGGTTATCCTAGCTTCTACCAATGGCGTTCCAGTATTACTTTCATCGTTGTCCCACTGTCTGGACCGCACGGTCTCTGATTAGCTGGTATAATCTACCGATGGTATGTAGCCAGAAGCAGTGACACGTACGCGTGTTGTTGACGTCACCCATGAACTTTGATTGATCACNAAACACTGTAAGGCGTCACTCCGGGATACGCGTCATCTTGTGGGCCCGGATCACCACAATTGGGCTTCTTGCATACGATCATATATACTTGAACAGTTTGAGATAATATAAGTACGATAATTATGAGGGTTTGAGCATGAAAGAAAAATTAGTAAAGATCAAATAAATATGGTACATACGTAAAAAGAACATTAAAGCATTCTACCATGGGAAGGTCAGCATACCATACAATTATTGCGCATATCAACAAAAGCGTTCCTCCCTCATACACAATTCACAGCTTACTGAAAATCTGAATTGAAGTACGAAATAACACCCTCAATGTGTACCAGAATGCGGTGTTCAGGCTAGTGTTCAGTTCTCCGACCAGGAGACGTAGTTGAAGCTTGAGCGCTGCATTTTGACTACCTAATTGCTTTGAATTGCGTGCTTTGTTTTATGCAGTACTCTTTTTAGACGCTTTTGTTAGGCATACGTATATATTGCATACATATATTGCGTCAGCTTGATGACAATCGTCTTACCAGTGTAAAAAGACCAGCAAATAAAAAAAAGAAAATTTTGTAGAAACAGGGGGTGGTGAAGCAGAACAACCTAAAAGAATGACAGTAGTACCAGTATGGAAATTTGGGAAAAGAGTTTCTCGGTGACAATATGGAACTGATAGAAATCTTTGTCTACATTGGCATTTTTATAGTATCTAACCGGAGGAAGAATGAAGTTATCTCCTTTTGCACTAATGAGTTAAAATTGACGTTGGCCAATTTGCGACATTGCCGGATCAGGCACGGCATATTTCTTGCACTGGAAGGGCTTGTTCTTAGTGTAACGGTAGCTAATACATTACATTTTGGATGGACTATGTAGTCGCTTTAACTGGATTATTCCTAACAAACAACTGTTTTCGATAACTGTGGTTTTTGTAGCATTGCTCGCGTTTGGAGAAGGAAAGCACTGGGTATACAAAAATTAGGTTGAACATCATGTGTTACAAAAAGAACTCCTTCGGATAATTAAGATAATTTCACTGCATCGTCTAAGGCTACTGAGAAACGCTGTTGGTGAGCCGGGGAAATCATATTATTTTGCAACACTTTGACCGGATTAAAATAAGCAGTGGGTATTTAAGCTTTGACGTTGGGTAGAGAGGTAAAGAAGGTTTGATCCAGTCATGCCTCCATTGGAGGCATTCCGGCCTCCAGCCTGAAGTTTCAAATACTCAGAGCGCTTTCCTCGGTAGATATTGGCGTATAAACCAATTTTATTAAAGTCAATGGGGAGAAAGAGAAGGGTTCAAGACTCATAATCTAACCCTATGAAAATAAAATAAAATTACATAAAATAAACAAAAATATTCAGTTTCTATCCCAAACGAATACCTTTTCATGCTCCTGAACCATAGTGGCCTGTGCATCTTGTGGACATAGATTGGCGATTTATATATACATATATATATATATATGTATATATACATAATGCAGTTTTAGCAAGAGATCAAAATAATTTATGTTGAACTATTATATAAAATATACATTAAACTTGTTCAATTAAAAAATCAAAAGCATGCTTTTCGACATTAACATTCGAGTGATAGAATAGTACAGATATGTTTGTTCGTGCGGTCCGGATTAAATTGAGCTTTTATTCCCATTTTCTGCTATTCTACCCTACTCTCTCATTCTGTGGGACTTAAATTGTCTGAAATAGGCAAATAGAGCAGAACACGGGATAACAATAATGACAAATGTGGTCTTTCAATGTTGTCACATAGACTAGTAAAAATAATGAGTTGTTGACAAATGCATCACACCTTTAAAGTAGTAGCACAGTTGATCTTGTACAACTCAAACCCGACTTTGTATATTCTATTTCGAAGTTAAACTGGTTACATATGCTGACAGCTTGTTTTTTTCACCCCATGAAGTCTGGAATTAGCTTGTCCATCTGCCATAGAAAAACTGTCTGTTCATAGTTATCTACACATTTATGTCCATACATATTGTTTTTACTCTCTCTGTTTATGAAAAACTTAATAAGTATGTGGAGATTGTGGCTAAGAATTTTCTCTAAGATGCACTGGGAGATAAAAGCTTGAAGTAAGAACACAACCTCGTTCACTCTTAATAGGAAACAGTTAGATGCACAACATGTGCGATCATGGAATATGGGATAAAACTATAGGAGCCGAATCTATTCGTATACTATAATGAACGTCAACAGGTAAAGATCCAAGATTTTCCACAAATGTAGCATCGCTTTTGTTGCAACTTGGTTGATTTCATCCCGTTTTCACACCTATTTTGTCAAAAGCTGTTGAATGTAAGAACATAGACATGATATTCATTATTATCACAAGGCGAATTTCCACAACTGTACACGTTGCACATGAACTCCGGTACTGTAACCTTTTGTTCACAGAAATCAGCCCCTCTTCATTGTACAGAACAGTGTGAATTTCACACGTAGAAGCTTTTACATAGTGAAACATTTTGCAACCCGGTCGAACAAACTAGAATATGGGCTTTCCGAACAACAAAAGATTCTCCTGCTGTTCCGGGAGGACTAATGTCACAGTGATACAGTCGCATAACGTTTTTGCAGCTATTCCCCGAAGTTACACTTTGCAACCCGGGTTTTTGGTTGCAAAATTTTAGTCGTACCTCAGAAATAAATCATGATAATTTTCTCATTTAGCAGATTCCAAATTTAGTGGAAGAAAGGTTGCTAACAAAGGCAAGTTAATTTTAAGGACATTGAAGCCTTAGGATATGCACGAATTTTATAGAGCGCATAATAGGGAAAAGTGCTGTTTGTTTAGATTCCGGGATATTTTCATTAGCAATGCGGGGTATTTTATAACAATCGAAATAATTCTTAATCTCGCCATAACCTATGCCCTTTGATTAAAACATTTAACGCTGCTATAATTTTGAATGAATAAAGATTATCGAATGATCGCAGAGGCACTGAATACGTCCCAATCGTGGACCAGAAACACGAAAATAGCGGAGTGTTCACAATGCAACCGCAAACCGTGAGGTCAAGGCGAGTCGTGTGACACACGTACCAGTTCATTGCCAGTTGTTACAAATGTTCTCAATAATACAAGTCTTGAATTAAGCTTAGACAATTCCTCTCAGTTTCTTGATTTTCGAAATAAACCGGACTTCACTAATTTCCTCAAAGCTTTATGTTCATTAAATCTTCACAACGAAAGCATCATTACAATTTTTCCAGTCTCTCATATTGGTTTGTTTCTGTAAGGTCCTTGTGTAATGGGTAATAAGTATTCAAAGGATAAAGAAGCACTTGCATATATATATATATATATATATATATATATATAAGCATGACCGGATACCCATGCCTGTCAAGTGGCCTGAGGCAGAAAATAGGTTGTGTGCTTCCATGGATATTTCGTTCAGATACCACGTATTGTAATACACATAAATTTCCCACCGGGCTGGTCTAAGGCTATGCAGCGGATAAAACCATGGCACGAGAGTTTGTGAAATAAGCAAACACTCATTGGCGAAAATGCATGCTTTGACATACAGAATAGGTCAGTCGGGTCGGCATAGTGCGAACTGGAGACATTATTACGTATGTTTATATTTATGTTGGGTTATTTTAGATGTAACCATGAGAATCGAAATGTTAAGCAATCTTTACGAAAATATCCTAACTCAAATGTGACTGTTTTTTAGTGAGCACATTTTCATGTCGGACACGGAACTCCCTCCAAATGAAGAAGAACCATCAGCGGAAACCCTTGGATCGGATGCTGTTTTGGACGAGCAGCTAACGGGTGAACAAGAGAACAATAATGCGGACGAACAACCGGAAGGAAATCCACAACCGTCAAAAACAGACCCGGGAGACAGTTCTGCAGATGCGAACGGGAAAGGTGGAGCAACATCTGATACAAGTCATCACAGTGGAGAAGACGAGCTTAAGGTGGTTAAAGCCATACCAGTGGATTCAAACAGAGCCACAGAGGAAAGCGAAGCAGAAGAAGAAGAACACGATGAGATACCAGACGATTCGGAAAGTGTTGGAGAGGCAATAAAAGCGAAGACGGAGCCAAAGAAGGTGATCGATCCGGAATTTGTGTATGATTTGAATGAATTTGTGTCTCAACCGACTGTGACACCGGATTCGGGAATTCCGCAGAATCTAGTCACTCTAGTGCATTCGTTTGGATTTGATGCATTGCGTCGAGACAATTTGAATTTGTTGGAAAATAATGTCGTTTGCTTTATCGCTGGTAATTATTTAGAAATACTCAATTTGGCAACGGCCGAAAAGCAGTACATTCGCTCGCTTAGCGGAGTGGGAATCGGGGCATTCTCTGTGCATCCGGAGCGGAATGCGATCGCCTTGGCTGAGAAAGGAGACTTGCCAAAAGTCAGCATCTATCGGTATCCTCAACTAGACTTATATCGTTTACTGAGCGAAGGAACACAGAAGGAATATTCTTCATGCGAATTTAGGTAGGTGGGACTTACGAAGCGATAAATTTATTCAAAATATTCATCGGTGTTATTATTTTTGGTATTTTAAACTGATCCAAAATGCAGCAATGGATCACTAAAAACACTCAGGATCTCGAGAAAGTAGTCTTATTCGACTAAAAGATAAACTTCAACCATATTACAACACGAAAGAAAAAGATAACAATAAAATTGACTAGCATTTGCACAACTTTAAATGTTTTGCACTCACCACCAGAGTGAGTTTACTCAAATTGTAAGTAGGACTGGATCTACGAAAATTGGAATACCTATATCATTACTGTTTTCTGCAACAAAAAGGCAACAACAAAAGTCTGTAAAACCTCCCGAAACATTGATCTAATCAATGAATTCAAGACATCCTTGACACTTCTTCAATGGCAGCAGTATGGAAGGCCTGTCGAAGCCCCAAATCATGAACAATTTATCTCGACAGATAAGTCGACGAATGTTGGTTCTTTGTCGAATCTTAAAGCCTTAGATAATTTTATGTTTATAGAAAACGAGCAACACTTGCTCAAGCTTTTATTGTGAAAATACCACGGGATTCTAACGCACTCATAAAAATTGCCTACACCTTTGCACTACTTGAGTTCTACAGGCAGAATTTCAATCGAACTTGTAGGTGGGGCATAGACAGCATACCTGCATTGGTCTAAATTCTACCCAGGCTCCTGATCTTTTCACACCTCAAACACAAAACATAACATCATCATCAGTATTGTCTTCACTGGGTAGCAAATTTCAAAGCGGTAAACTATGCTGATCGCTCTCGGGCAAAAATGCGTATGAGCTAAATGTAACTGTGTAAAATGGATTGCGCATAAGCCTACTTGGTGGGAAGAAAAACCGAAACAATCAGTTTGCACATACGGGCTTTCTGAAGCAGCCTGACGTGATAGCAAATGACAATCAGAGCGTAATTGAAGTGAGTTTCGTGCCTCATACTTCATTGTCTCTAAAAGACTGGCTATATGTTCTTTTGGAAGCCAACGCAAATTATAGCAGACATCCTCTCTGCCTAATCTGTTCATCCAGTTCTTCACGTCACAACGACACAATCTGCTAATCTCTACAATATATCCCTCGTCCCCTTGTAGCCAAACGGCGCGGTAGGGTAGAAGGAAACTAGAAAAGGGTAGCAGACTTCTAAACCAATGAACCCTATTATTTAGGAATATGTGACAACAAATGTTTCACCGATCTAATCCCAAACAGACGGCCCATTGTGATGGCCAGTGCAGAGATCAAACAGCTTGCAAGTTCATTCTTTGCTTAAATTCCCTGTGAGAGAATCCCAAAGTTGGGGTAACTGAACAGGGAATCCACAAAGAGACTAATTTACTATAGAATGGGCACAATTTAGTGAAATAATCGTTAAATAAAAGTTTGTTCGCCTGAAAAACACTTGGGATTGCAACGAAAACTCGTCTAATTAATAGTTATACATATATATTATATATTTTCACATACCTCTGAGTTTAAACTGTGTGCCACACATATCACGGTACAATAATCTTTATAAAAAGAAAAAAGTCATTGATTTTCTCGAGGGCGCGATAGTGCCAGGTTGACCAGGCTTAAGCAGGTGAATTTCCTTAGTGAGACCAGGAAGGTGTTGGCGAGTGCGGTTCGTACGCCTCTTCTTGGTCGATTTGGAATGAGGCTTTTTAACCAACTCCCCTAGTAGAAATGCCAGTGGGTTACCTACCCGTTTATAGCCTCGGATATTAGCTTTTAATCCTCTCATTTTGATGGGAAAATGCATCCGCCTGAAAAGGCATCAGATAAAAAGGTTTTAGAAATATGTGCTGTACCAAGTTCTAGACTGGAATTCCAGGTCTAATTCTGTATAATTGATGATTTTTCCTAAGTTCCAACTTTATGGTTCATGGATGTAAAACAACGTTTTAAACCAATTTAGAGATTATTCTCCCATTGTATCCTAACTTGTATAAGACATTCATTCGCATCTGCGCTTCAGTGAACAACTCGACGATGCTTGGTAGGTTACGAATCAGATTTTTTGAACCATCGAGTTTAAGAGTTGATATGGCCATTCGACCTTTTAGCTTACTTGGTTGTATTGATTAAAAGTCGAGAAAAGACCATAGAAAAATCTTTAAATTAGAGATGATCTCAGTCTATACTGAATGCTGTCCTGTTTTGTGTTTGTTTCTGTCTTCGTGAACACAGTCCGGATGGGGAAATGTTGGCCGTTGTTGGCTCAGATCCGGACTACATGCTCACTTTGTGGGAATGGCGAAACGAGCAAATAGTACTTCGAGCCAAAGCATTCTCTCAGGACATATATCGTGTCGCTTGGTCGGCCGATTTGGCTGGCGTCCTGACTACAGCCGGGGTAGGCCACATTCGATTTTGGAAGATGGCAGACACGTTTACCGGGCTCAAATTGCAAGGAAAGCTGGGGAAATTCGGCAAAACCGAACTGTCGGACATTGAGGGATTTGTAACGCTTCCTGACGGAAAAGTGCTCACCGGATCGAGTTGGGGCAATTTGCTCGTTTGGGAAGGTGATCTGATTAAGGTGCAAATTTCCCGCAAAAACAAACGTCCGTGTCACACTGGGCTGATCATGCAAATTGTGATGGATGAGGGTGAACTGATGACTGTTGGTCAGGATGGATGGATACGGGTGAGTAGCGCAAGGAATCACCGTTCTCCTGATTTTCAAGCACAAAGAAGTGCAGTAGCTTTTGTCTCATAATTATTTATTTCTGCTGTCCATAATTTATTGATGTCCACAATAAATGCGTGACGGTGTAACCACGTTGCAAACACTCGATACGTAGCTGACTTTTACATTTAACAACACAACATTGCCCATGTGTGTGCTAATGGGCCAGAGAAACCAAATGATTTTTAAGTCAAAATATAAAATGAATAAAAGTAATTTAGTGATAATGATCAAACCCAATATGAACTGACTGAGATGTTGGTAGCAGAGACGTTTTATATGCCAGAGGTTCAGATTTACAGTCCCAGAAGAACCGGGAGGAACTGGGGGCACGAAATGTGGCAAATAGCGTTCTGTTTGCAAATGCAGACACATTTGTTAAGAATGGAAGAACTATGCTGTATATATCACTGGTCTGGGTTCAAGTTGTGTGCCATTAAAATCATGATACTTTTAGTTTATACATGAGAACTAGTATAGGAGGATAAGCAAGAGAGATCTGCGTAGTTAACGGAGTTAAAGATTTGTGTACCTTTTTAGCGCCTGTTATTCTGAGTTAATTAACAGACTTCAATTCGACAAAATAAGCAAGTGAGAGGATGGAATCGTGATATCTTTCGTTTTGGGCGTAAATCTGTCTCTCTTTAAATATCTATTATTCAAAATATTTGGTTTCGATTATTTTGCTTGCATTTTTTGTTCGCAGGGCAGCATGCACATGTTCGGTGCTTGTCAGTCGGAAAATTTTGAGGATCTTTGCAACAAGGAAGTTTCTCTGATCAGACAGTTTCAATGCAATAATGACTGACATAGTATTTATGGCTATAAGTGGGAATTCAACCACCTAATTTCAACATTGTCCATTCTCTGATGACATACAATTTTGGGGTTCTGTATGTAGCATTTCTGTTGGTAAAGAACTACAATTCTAGTTAAACGAACCCCAACTGTTAGTATGCAGATATCTGTGAATGCGCATGCTATTCTATTAAAGGGTGATCGAGTTTACACCCATCCACACAGACACACATACACCCCACACCCCATAAACAGTATACACTTTTCATCAGTTTTTATTTCTCCTTATTCATGTAGATTACTAATCTGTTTTAAAATTCAATTCATATCCCAACCGAACTGTAGACATGGGACTTTGAGACAGTGGACACCGCGGAATGCCTCGAGGAGGGTGGTATTTACGAACTGGAACCAATGAACGAATTACAAGTCAGTCCCACGGCCAAACTCATGTATATTGTCAAAGTGCATGAAGCGGACTGCACCATGTGGTATGCGCAAGTAAGTTTGAGAAAGTTGATCATGCATTTTTCGTTGCACGGCACTAAGCACGGTGATCGAACACATTAAGTTTAAAAGTTTTATACGTTCAAAATAAGGATATTTGTCATGTGTGAAACGATATAAAGCTGCTGAAAAGACAAATCTTATGGAGATTGTTCACAGTTTTGCCTCCAAACTGGATAAAAGTATCATAGAAGACGACATCTGAATTAACCTGATTTGGTAAGTCTGGTCAGCTGCAGTGTGAGCTGGTTGACACAGTGAAAACGCACGCGTCCTCCACGCGATAGTTTCTGAGTTCAAAACCGGGACGGGAGGATGGATATGTACCTACTAACGAGGCCGAACAATAGTGAAACTTATACTTCCTGATTGGATGGTTGACTGGATGAACTAAGGGTTGCGCGCGTAGGTGAAATTTGAGGAACGATCAGTCCGAGTCGGTACCGTAGGCTTGTTTACTGCATTTCTATCAATATTCACTGGAATGTAGTAGAAATGCAAGCAAAACACTTTGATAAGGTTTCATGACGCATAACAGAAATACGGAATGATGGACAGAACCTCTTTCAATCAACGTCAGCCCAAACGAGAAAAAAAACAGTTTTTCATGAATCTTTTTCGGTCAATACACACGATTTCCTCAATTCTATTGGAAAATTCTTTAACTGGTCAATCAAAAAGGCTCAAGAGTACAATCTGTCTGCGAGTATTGCTTTCCTCTCACAAATTTAAATAGAAGAGTCAGAAATATGGGTTTAAACAGTGTATCTTCATGGTCATTCCGCTCCATCCGTACACGTGCATACTGCAGTTAAAGTGATTTTTTATGGTCAGCTAGATAACAACCGTCAAACAAAGACAATATCTCTAAACACAACGGATAACACTACAAAACAACAAGGAAAACAAGAGAGGGTATGGGTTAAGCACCAAGGCAAAGCTAGTGTGACTAACAATTCACGTTGTCTGTATAGGTTGGTTTGAGCGCTTTCCGACACAACACATTTACAAAACCCGTGTCTGCATATAATTCCTAGGCTTTCAATGGACGAATTCTCCCTGAAGAAGTACTCTCACAGCCTGATGAGCCTCAGATTCACACTGTCACACAGAGAAGAATATTTTCGGCTAGCTCGTCGATACTATTGGGCACCTCTCATAAAATAAATATGAGTTCCAAAAATCACTTAGTCAGAGAATCAATCAGTGTATCATAAATGTGTGACAAAGAGTTTGCTTCACGAATAAATAGTAGAGGTCAACGACAAATGTCCAAACTAAAAATAACTACAAAGTGTTTACCTTCTTTATTCAGGACGGTGATGGAGCAATCTGGAAGTTAGATCTATCATTTTCGCACACCTCACTGGCTCCTGAATCGATGGTTCGATTTCATGCAGACGGGATTGTTGACTGCGTGCCATCACCATTCGCCTACACTGCTGCCACCATCGGACGCGATGGTACGTGATATTGCATCTACACTTTTTTCCGATACATCTTTTCCCTATACTCTGTAACCCCAC